TATTATTATTATTATTATTATTATTATTATTATTATTATTATTATTATTATTATTATTATTATTATCAGAAACAAGCAGTACGAACTTTCCAACAAATCGGTATGTGGGTTGTTGAGGTATCTTGATCCGAAAAGCAGAGGTGGCCAGAATTAATTCATGAATTGTCTTTATGTATAACTCCTCACTCTGTTACTGGCGCCAAGTTCTTCCGACAATTTCCAAAATTTTGAGAAGCCTTAGTTAAGTTCAATGAATATTTAGAAAGCAATGGTTTATTGTATACATTCCAGTCAGGGTTCAGAGGGGTTTTGTCAACTGACACTTGTCTCCTTTATACTCAGGACTACAAATCAAATTTCTACAGGAAACTTTGTCGGTTTGGCTCTATTGGATATTCAGAAGGCATTCGACAGCATTGATCATGTCGTACTGTGTGGCAAGTTAGAGGCTCTTGGTGTCCTTTCTATCAACTGGTTCAGCTCCTATCTTCGCAGTCGTAGGCAAGTTGTCGATGTCAACAACCTGGGATCGGACGGTATGGGGCTTACCAGTGGAGTTCCACAGGGGAGCCTGTTAGGCACAATCCTCTTTCTTTGCTATACATGAACGACATGCGACATGCTGTCGAATGCCTTCTGTTACAATACACGGATGACAGTGTCTTGTTAGTAGGTCATAAGGACCTGAACATTACCAAGTTCAAACCTTAATAATTGCCATCAATGGCTAGTCGACAATTCCATGTTTTTGCATCCGGGAGTTTATTATTTTCTCATCTATGAAAAAAAAAGATTCGTTGCAGAAAACTCTTGTATCTTTTTCAATGGTCAAGAAATATAATGTAGTGATTCCGTCACGCAATTTTGTTTGGAACTTAATACATTTTTGAATGGAGAAGCTATTACATTGTCTATTCTCAAAAAGGTTAATTCCAGACTGAAATTTTTATACCGTCATGGAGCGTATCTTAATCCAAAAGTCAGAAAAGTTGTTTGCTTTGCCCTGTTTTTTAGTTTATTCGATTATAATATTTCATCATGGTATTGGGCCTCCCCAAACAATACCAAAATAAATTTCAAGTGGCACAAAACAAAATTCTTAGGTTTATCCTTGGCAAAGGCCCAAGGTACCATTTATCTCCACAGGACTTTAAAACTGTTTTTAAAACTGTTTTTATTAGCAATTCAGCTTTCTTGCAATCATGTATTCCGAGTCTTTAATAAATCCTGCCCAACTTATCTTATTGAGTATTTCACCAAAGTTCAAAATGTTCATAAATACTTTACTCGAAGAACTAGGCATGACTTTAAACCTAAATTTAAACCCCATTTACAATTTAGCTTTTTCAACAATTGCTTCTCCAATTAGAATGCTCTCCTGGTTTCTTTGAAGGAAATTAACAATATACACATATTTAAACGTAAATTAAAACAGCATCTATTAAATAACCTGAAAGATTGATAATGTCATGCCTAGTTCCTCCAAATTCAAATGTGAATGTTTTCTGTTTTTATGTGTGTTTTTTTCTTCTTTTTTGCTTATAATATAT